CTACGCTAATTATTTTACCTTTTTGCTTTTCTGCTGTTATCTCGGGACGCGAGTCCAAAGGAAAATGGCGTTCGTCAGCTCCAGTTTGTATCCAGCCTCTCACGGAGACTTCAGATGCACCAATCACAAAGCCTGTGAAGAGACGACTCAACACGGGCGATATGGACCCTCTATGGTGGACGGCACTGATCCTCAACAACTCGTCTTAATACCGGCGTGATTACTTGGACTTCCAAAAAGATGGAAATGGATAAATACTCTAAATGTTCCGATCCAATCTGACTTGTAATGCTGCCCGAATCATGCACTGTTCCTTCGTTGGCCAGAGGAGAACTGGCCCTCCGACTGAGTCTGGTTTCTCCATTCTGTCCCTGATGGAGTTTTGGTTCCTTGCCACTGTTGCCTTGGCTTTTGGCTTGCTTAGTTGGGGACATTTAATATTCAATAATATTATTGATCTGCCTTACTTAAGGTGGACGTTGACGCAATTTTCTTTTAGAAACAAACCTTGTTATATTATTTTCATGTTATCACTGTGAAGCTGCTTTGATACAATCTGTATTGTAAAAAGCGCTATATAAATAAAGGTGACTTGACTTGACATATTAATGAGAGATCACGCCTCCTCGCATAAAGCTTTCTCACACTAAACGCGTCATACACATTCTAAAATACTTTATTGACTTATCTGAATGAGTAGTCAGGATGATTCTCACATAGTTTTGGAGCAAATATTCCAGACTATGTGATACAATTTTCAAAAGTCTTGTGAAGAAATAATCAATATGTGTTTTGTGGCCTTATTTCAGTAACTTTTAGTTTTAGTTTTTTCAAAAACCATGCATAAATAATATTCTCTCAAAAATACAAACATGTACATACATGTTGCTCACATATTATGGTAGCCCCGTTTGTGCTATATAGAGTGAATTTACACCTTTGCCATTAACATGTTTATAAATAACTGAAAAAAGCACAAATGGCAGTGCATGTCAAAACATCCCAAGGGCCCCAAAAACCCCTTGGTCCCCAGAGGGTTAATGAGCTGAGAACAGAGAGACTGGCTGTTTTTTGTTAGAGAGCATAAAGAGAAGCTGGAAGAGTGTTTTGGTTAAAACGTTTTAGAGTTTTGAGTTCATAATTAAAAAGAAACCAGTGACTTGATCTCTGCCTGGACTCGATTTGTGAAGCAACCCACACTTTGGTGATACCCTACCTCTAGCGATGCCACAGTTGCCTGAAACAAAACAAAAATCTACTGGTAACTTAGGGGTTTATGTCATGTACACCATCTACAAAAACAATTACTCATCAATGGCAGGCCTCCTTATTCTCTACATGTATCCGTTTATTTATAATCCTAACTGCGCACAACCCTGACCTTGAAGATCCTAACTGCTGCTTTGGCTGTTGGACAGGATCTGAAATCAAAGGAAAGGTAATCAGCTTCCTAGCCTCTGCTTTCTCTTCTGCTTCCTCCACTTTTCAGCAGCTGACGCTTCCCTCACTCACTTAGATCACTAATCTTCCTCTTTTTTCCCTGCTCTACATCCCGTCTCCATCTCTGATGCTCACTCTCTAGATATTTTTGCTTCCTCTCAGTATCAGCATCCCGACGTGCACGGCATCGCCGTTGTCTCTCAGCAGCGCTTAATGGAGCCATGATGGAGACAGATCTGTCTGAAAATGTTATAAAATGTAACATTCTTCATTAAACACCGATAGTGAGTGAGTGAAAGAGATAGTGAGTGAGATGGCAGCATTAGAAGGATCCTTCGAATGGGGACAGCCTTCGTCACGCCGCTGTGACCCAACCGGCCTTCAAATGCGGAGGATGCAGCCCCTGAATTGGGACACAGCTCACGAGGCTCTACCGCAGATCCCACATGTCTTTCATCATAGGCATACATGATAGAAAATAGGCTTGTTTGAGATTAGCAAAATCTGCGCAGAACCGATCACCGGTGATCACCGCGAGATGCATGCCGGTTCGAAATGTGTCCGAGTGCGGTCCGCCTTGCTCTGATGTCATGCCCTACTGTCAGAAAAGATGCCAGCTGGTATAGAAACAACGGTAAGAATATTTTCTCGAGATAACCGTGTAAATGGAAGTGTATAAGTCATATTGCCGCTTTTTACATTGCAGCAAGGACAGAGCGAAGGGTAATGCATGGGTAAGATGTCACCTAATAGATGTAAATGCATAGATGACGCCTAATTTATTGTTTTCTATACCAGTTTCCTCTTTATTTTGTGTGCAGCTGTGGTGCATTTGTCCTTTATCTGTCCATGTTTGGGCCTAAGTTATGATTCAAGTCGAGGTTCTAGTGCTAACATTATTTTAATCATCATAATATAATAATTACTTCCACATTAGACTAATGCTTTGTTTTAGACTATAAGTATTTCTTTTGAAAAATGTCAAAAAATGTCTTTTAATTTCACATTTGTCTTGCTGTGGTGGCACACCACTACTAAAATTAATCCTGAGGCAACACTGCTACCAGAAAATTTCGTATTAAAAAAATACAAATCTGAACATGTTTTACACATGAACCCGTCTCTTCTTTTGTCATCAGGTGTGGTAAACTGGAACACATTTTCAGAGGAGCATAGAAGGACCAACAGAACTCAGTATCTAATCTCCTGCTGCATTCAATGCAGTTCTCTCTACAAAGACTGTGAAGTCTACAGAGGGGGGAACTATAGGATTAGATCCTATGTTTGTACAGTAGCAGTAGCCCAGAACAGACAACATTAGTGCCAGAACACATATTAGATTGGGTTTGCATAAACCGAATTGTGTTGCCTTTCAATTAAATATTTTGTTATGTGTGCTTGTTGTTCATTTGTCTCAAAAGTATCATAAGATTTGTTTGTCAGCGGTGCATTTAGCTGTTCATTAGTGCTGTTGATATCAGTCAAAAATTTAATCATCACAATCAAAATCAAAAGATGTTTAAAATTATTTATTTAAAAATAATAATAATAAAAAATAAAGCTCAATTCCAAAAAGATATATTAGTGCTTGCGCCACACTTGAGGTGGGACGAATAATTGATCAAATACATTGCAATATGGTTTCTTGCAATACATCAGTACCCTTGCACTAGATTGCAGCTTGGTTTTACTGTATAGGGGTGAATTGCCCTAATGTGGGACACCTAAGGTCTAGTGTTTGTAGGTCCCCCATAAATACATGAATGACAGTGAAACTATGGGTTAGAGTTAGACAAAGTTGTGGTGTCATGTGATCAAAATCACATGACCTATCAAATGTCCAATCATATTTGAGGGTGGAGCAATCATCAAACAGGAGACACCTTGTGTGAAGACCATCCGAAGGTTAATGACATAGAGTTTTAACAAATTTGATGTTAAGGAGTTAAATAGATTTTAAACAAAGCAATCCTGCTACTTGTTAGCCTAATATGCTTATGAAATGTTTGTCCATCAAAAAATAGTGTAACTTTTATGTGTATAAACTATATATTTTATATTTTTATCAAATTTCCTAGTGTCCCACATTAGGAAATGTGGTTTCCAAATCCGGGACAGATCAGCCCAATGTGGGACAGTACTTCAATGAGTCAAAAATGCGTGGTGGGGCATGTTTTAAACATTTTTTTTATTTTATTTTAATAAAAATATGAATAATGTTTATATTAGACAAATCTTAACTAAAGAAAAAAAAATTCACCTAAGGCATTGATGAAATGGAAACAGGATTTTCATGACCTTTGTTCAGAATCTGTGGTCAGATATTAATAAATATGTAACTCCTAATAAATAAGTCAAAGAAACTCACTTTAAAATAATAAATAGATATTATCCATTTAAAGAAGGGGTTTGTCCATTATGCTGTTTTGGTAAAGAGGAAACAGAAACAATTGTACATTTATTTTTTAGTTGTAATTATACCAAATTATTTTGGTCCAAAGTTTATCTGTTTATTTTGTAGGTGTTTTACAAATGCATCACTATAACTGACTAATGGTCTTGTTTATGGATTGTGATACTGGAATCGCCCAGAGTGTTCCCATAGACTTACATTCAAAGATGTTTTTTTTCGAACTGCAGGCACTGCACAAGGGGGTAATCCATCGACCGGAAGTTGAAGCCGGCCGGGTGCCGCCATCTTGTAGCAGAACTTCACTTGCGTTAGCATTTCCATTGACTCCCATTCATTTTGGCGTCACTTTGACAGCGAATAACTTTACATCTGAGGCGTTTAAAGACTCCATTTGTCCATTATTTATTTCTAAAGAAACACGACAATGTATAAAAGGCTCCATTACCTTCTATGTTACGTTATGGCCCCGTAGAAACAGATTTAGTAAAAATAGGCTAACGATTGCGTCATAACCACTCGACTCTCTGACACGCTGTACAGAAATTACCGTGTAGACAGAAGTAGAAACTCGCGCGCAATCGGGGGACGTCGAGGCATAAAGTCAAGGGAGAAGCCCATAGAGAGTTGTAAAGCTGCTCCTGCTGCGAGCTCATGGACAGCTAATACTCACGATCTCCGGCTCTGCAAGTTTCGGAAGGGAATGATTCAGATTCCTCTTGGCACAGCTACTAGAAGATTAACGTCTGTCAGACAGGTTGCTCACGTCATCAAGCTTAGTTTGAGTCGGTTTGAGTCTGCGCGTCAGGAACGGAAGTGCTCAAAAATCGCAAAAAATGGGCTTCAACTGTCTCAACTGAGTTCCAATGAGATCGCTCTGTCCATTTCTTTTACTGTCTATGGCACTGCAATGCATTCTCTATGTGTTCCGGGAGGGCTCGCACTAACGTGCTTACATCATCATACGTATCCTTAAGTTGTGCAGCGATTGGTGGGAACATACACTATTAAAAATCTTTAAGATTAAGTGACAAACAATATTTTAAAACAATTTTTAATTTAAACAACAACAATAAAAAATGAAACACAACTTTATTATCTTCATCAAATTGATAAAATTCAATTTCTTCATCAAAAAAAAAAAAAAAAAAAAAAAAGCGAGAGCGAGAGAGACTGTTGGGACATCTCGCGAGTTGTGGCTACAGACAGTTGAACTTGAACAACGTCATGGCGAACGCAGTTATTAATTCTATCGTGGCATTAAAAGAAATACCATTCAGCCGTCGTAGTAATCAGGATAAATTGGCAATTAAAGAGTTAGGGCCACCAAGACCAAATTTAAAGATAAAACAAGTATCTACAAAGGGCGGGAAATCATATCATAGAGGATTCTCGAGGAATTGGTACGAGCGGATAAAATGGCTAGCAGGGTGCGAAGTAGCTAATGCTTTATTCTGCTACCCCTGCATTCTCTTCCATCCTGAGAACGGGACGGACATCGCATGGACAACTACAGGTGTCACCGATATGCATCATCTCTCCGAGAAAGTGAAAAAACATGAAACGGCGAAGATGCATATGGACAGTTGCCTAAAATTGGCGGCTTTCGGGAAAGTCAATATTGCCACACAGTTGGACGACAGTTACCGGATAGCTGTACGTCGTCACAATGACGAGGTTAGTAAGAACCGCCACATTCTAGGCCGTCTCATCGACTGTGTTAAGTTTTGTGGCCTGTTCGAATTAGCATTGAGGGGCAAAGATGAGAGCGAAGGCTCAAGCCACGCTGGCATTTTTCGTGGACTGGTCAACTTGGTAGCATCGCTTGACGAGGTGTTTGAGGAGCACTTGAAAACTGCCACAGTCTTTAAAGGTACATCAAAGACTGTACAAAATGAGCTGTTGGATTGCATGCTGTCAGTCATCAGGGAGCATATAATGGAAGAGGTGAAGTCAGCTAGATTCGTAGCAATTCAAGCAGATGAGACTACTGACGTTTCTACACAGACTCAGTTAGTGCTTGTGTTCAGATACATCGACACGAACCATGTTGTGCAAGAACGTTTCTATGAGTTCATCCCCATCTTGAATACAACAGCCGAGTCGATTGCCAGTGTGATTCTGGAGAGGCTGAACAGTCTTTTCACTGATGATGACGGAGGCAAACTCATCGCGCAAGCATACGACGGGGCAAGTGTGATGAGGGGAGAGCGGGCTGGTGTGCAGCAAAAGGTGCGTGAACATTATGAAAATGCACATTATGTCCATTGCTATGCACACCAGCTGAATTTGATCATGCAGCAAGCTACATCTCAAACTCCAGCAGTTAGAGTATTCTTTTCTGATCTGAGTGGCATTACCAGCTTTTTTACCCGGTCACCAAAACGTACTACTATTCTCGACGAGATTGTTGCACGAAGGCTGCCAAGAGCCTCATCCACAAGATGGAACTTTAATAGCAGAATCGTGAACACTGTATACGAGAACCTAGATGACCTTATAGAGTGTTTCAGCTGTATTGTGACTGACAGCTCATTTGATAGCAACACGGTGAGGGAGGCGTCTGGCTTTCTGAGGATGCTGCAAGATGAAGACTTTCAGTTTTTTCTGCATCTGTTTCATCAAATCATGCCTCACGTTGACGTGATGTACCAGCAGCTGCAGAAGAAGAACATTGATGCAGTCTTCATCAAACAAGCCCTCCAGAACTTCACAATGAAAGTGCAGTCCATCAGGTAAGATCATATCATTCCTTCTCTATATAGGATTATGGCATTTAAAAATGTATGCTATATGGTAACAAGATTTAGACACTTAAAAGTGGTGAACTAATTTAATCATCTGCATCTTTGGAAATTGTAATGACCTTGTCTGTAACAAAGTTTAGCAATCTTTTGAAGTATTCTCAGAAAATATATCTAAAACAGAATATTTGTGTTGCTTCTGTTTTTTTAAGACATGAATAAGTATTTTCAATGACATGAGATTATTCATAAAACATGTTTTATTCATAAAAACACTGTTGATCTGTGTTCAGGGACCAAAGCTCATTTCAGGAACAGGAGCAAGTAGTAAAAGAAAAAACAAGATCTAGGAGGGCCTTGGGAGAAGACGACAAGCAGAGGCTGTCTAAAGAGGTATTTATATCTGACCAATACTCGAGTGTTGGAATTTCACTTTATTTTTACAATCAGTTTAGGAAAGGATGGGAGCAGTCTTTTTTACTCCTAGCTTCGTACTTTGAAATTTGTACATTCCATTCGAAGACCAACACAGTCTTTATCCTACACAGCAACGATTTAGTCAACCATATTGTTTGTCGCCACCTAGTGGAATCTTTAACCCTTTGATGCACAACATGGGTCTAAATAGACCCGACTGAGTTTTCATTTTCTATATCTTTGCAAGAAATTAATTTCATCATTCAGTATTCCAGGTATTCCTCAATTAACTCGTTTTAGATCATTACAAATCCTTATTTAAATTTTTCCTTTCTTACTTTTCGAATAAAAATCGTTTTTGTTTCACTACCCTTCTAATGCGCAACATGGGTCTAAAAAGACCCGTATTCATATTTCTTTGCTGAATATTTGAAAGAAATGTATTTTATCATTTATTAATCCAGGTATTCATTAAATATCTTGTTTTTGATTTCCACAAATCATTATTTTTATTTTTCCTTTATTACTTTATAAACAAACACGTTTTTTGTATTTCTACATCAATTTTACACACATGGGTCAAAAATGACCCATATAGGAACCTTTGATATTTATAAATAGTATAAATATAATTACTGCAGAAAACTATTCACCTGCCACACATTTCACAACTCAACACGGCTGTTTTTGTATATTTCATGCATTATTTAATACATTTTTTGTCACAGAAAATATTTGATATTTTGTGAAAGACATCTAGATATAGCCTAAAATTTGAACGTTTAGGCTAAGCTTACCTTGACTTTGAAATCCATTACTAGTGCAAAAGAGAAACATGTCCAATACTATTAGCTAGCTTGCGGTCGACATATTTTATTTTATCTAATGTTAGCTAGGTCAACAAAATAAAAGTTGCAATAGAAAGTTATATATACAAGTATATATTGGCGGTATTGGGCAGAAACCTTACCTGGGCAGTACCTCCTCCATATTAATTTTTATTTGTGGTCATAAATCAATGCTATCGGTCACATAAGCCGTCGTGTGGTGGCGTTCTGGTGCACTATGGCTGCTGTCGCATCATCCGGGTGGATGCTGCACATTGGTGGCGGGGAGATCCCCCTACCGATCACACTACACTACAGTTCAATTTCAGTGTTATCGGTTATGTGTGTTATGCGTGACAAAGTGGCCGATAAACATATTTCAAGTGTTACAGTAAATGTGTTGATCTAAACAACTGTGACAATGGTTATTTTTACAAAAAGTTTTCTTTATTCTTTTGTTTTATCACGCTTGCATAGATGGGTCATTTTAGACCCATGTGTGTAAACTTGATGTATTTACACAAAACCTAGGAAATATTCAAATATGAATTTGTGATAATTGAAAACAAGATATTTTGAATATTCATAAATCATGAAATTTATAGATCATGAAATATAAAATGCTCAAATAAAGTGATATCAAAAGGTGAAACAAAAAAATGCCGAGCCATGCATGAAATAACATAGGAAATGAATACGGGTCTTTTTAGACCCATGTTGTGCATTAGAGGGGGTATCCATAGCTTGTGCATCAAAGGGTTAATAAAAGAAACTCTGAGTGGACTGAAAACACATTTACTGGTCAAAAACCCTTCTCAAACTCCATTTGAGCTTGAATTTTGGTAAAAGGTTAATTAACGTAATAACACACACACACACACACAAATCATCGCTGTTGTATGTCCAAAACTGTTACTTTTCAGGAAACAAAAGAACCTGTTTTTCCACCCCAAATAATTTCCAAGCTCTTAATGTTTTTCATTGGTTAAATATTTGTAAAACACATTGATGGATGTAAAGGGTGAACAATAGCATTAATTTTTTTTTTTTTAAATATGGAGATATAAAATCTTTATGTACAAGATATACTTTATATACCTTGTATCTCCGTATTTACATTATAATAATTTATTTTATAACTAAAATAAATGTATTTATTTTGTCAGGTCTGCGACACAATCTTGGTCCACACCAAAGAAAGGTTCGCCTTTACCGACCACCTTGTAAGTGCCACGCTGCTACAAGGAGAGCTGTTTCAACAGCATGGCCATACATTCCCTGTTGAGGCTCTGAACATCACTGTCAGGGCATACCCGATGTTAAATAAGGCGAAGCTGAAGACTGAACTGTCTCTCATTTATGAGAGTCCAGAATTCAAGGGCTGCTGTGGTGCACTGGCGCTGTACCAGGTTTTGCTGAAGTACAACCTCCAGGATACTTTTACAGAGACTGTTGCTCTGTTGAACATCCTCATAAGCACTCCTATGACAACTGCTGAAGCTGAGAGGTGTTTCTCAACCTTAAAGAGAATCAAGACATTCCTGAGAAATGTAATGGGACAGGAACGTCTGAATGCACTGGCTATGCTTTCGATGGAGAGGGAACTAGTCAGGAATATACCTGCTTTCAATGAGAGAGTAATTGATCACTTTGCTTCTTTGAAAGAGAGAAGAGCAAAATTTCAGTATAAATAAGCACTGTATTAAAGGGTTAGTTCACCCAAAAATGAAAAATATGTCAGTAATTACTCGCCCTCATGTTGTCCCAACCCCGTCAGACCTTCGTTCATCTTCGGAACACAAATTAAGATATTTTTTGATTAAATCTGAGAGCTGGATCACTCCTCCATAGGCTTCTAAAGGACTGAAACTTGCTGGCCCAGAAAAGTTATTTAAGAGATTGTTAATATAGTCCATTTCAGTCCTTTAGAAGCCTATGGAGGAGTGATCCAGCTCTCAGATTTAATAAAAAAATATCTTAATTTGTGTTCCAAAGATGAACGAAGGTCTGACGGGGTTGGGACAACATGAGGGTGAGTAATTACTGACATAATTTTCATTTTTGGGTGAACTATCTCTTTAAGTGAGTAATGTGATGTAATAAGTGTAATAAAAGTGAGTATAGAAACAAGAAGATTTATTGTAAGTCACTTTATTTGTCATTAATATTAAAGTGAAGTTGCCTTTACATGCTTAAGCTGTTTATTTATCCATTGCATGGGTGGACCTTGTCCTTATCAATCATCCAAACATTTGCCCCCCCTGAGAGATCTTGCAGGAGCCGCCACTGTTTATCATAGATTTTTCAGTGTCCCACATTAGGAAGCTGCAGATTGTCTCAGACAACTTGCAATAAGAGCACTAAATAATTTCTCTCATGAATGGGTTATCTGAATTCTATCTTTTGATTTGATTAGGACACATACTGGGGTTTTTAAAGTGGTATGGGTGTGGATTTAATGTTTTGGTTACACATCGACATCGCAATATGTCACAGAAGTCTGAACTGAAGTGCAAAAAATGTCCCACATTAGGGCAATTCACAATACCAAAACAAGCATTTCGTTTCTTGAACAGCTAAGAGTCAGTTTAATCAATTTAATCAGATTTAATTCAAAAGCATACGGAACTGTCCTCTAATCGCTCTCGGTCTGTGCAGCGCTGGTTAAAGTCGGGGAAAAACTGTGATCAACTTGAACTGGGCGAGTCAGACAGGTTCTATCAATATTATCTGCCTGCAGTCCCGGAGGCTGCATTTTCAGGACCCCACTTCTAGGACCGCATTTCTAGGACCCTAGTTTGCAGGCAGATGCTACTCTCATACACACTCAGACTGTAGTGTTGTTATTTGTCCAGCAGGCGGAGGTATACACACTCGGAGACTGAAGTCAGCAGCAGAAGAAGACCCACGCGTGTTGTTGCTGAACGATGGCGGGTCTCGAGTTGCTGTCGGATCAGGGATACCGGCTGGACGGACGGAAAGCGCCCGAGCTGCGCAAAGTGCAGGCCCGCATGAGTGTGTTCGCCCAGGCCGACGGGTCCGCTTACCTGGAGCAGGGCAACACCAAAGCCCTGGCGGTGGTGTACGGGCCACACGAGGTGAGCGCGTGTGAGTGTGTGTGTGTCTGTCTGTGTGTGTATGTGTCTCTGTGTGTATGTGTGTGTGAGAGAGAGATACTGTGTCAGTGTGTTCATTCGCAGCCTTTATGATACAGTCATTGATATAAGCAGAGCTTCTACGGCTCTTGGAAAGTCTTAATTCGCCCTGGCACAAACTAACCCTGCCGAACAAAACTGCTAAAACCAGCCTAAGCTGGTTAGCGGGTCTTGCCTGGTTTCAGCTGGTCTTCCTGGCTGGTTTTAGATGGTCTCCCAGCTTGACCAGAATGGCCACCTAAAAAAAAAAAAGTCTCTAAAACCAGCCTGGGAGACCAGCTGAAACCAGGCAAGACCCGCTAACCAGCTTAGACTGTGTTTAGTTGTTGTTGTTTTTCAGCAGGGACGGCCTTAAAAAAGTATTAAATCAGAGCAGAACGTTTTAAATTCATAAAGTCGTCGTCATGATATTAAATGTTTCATGCACTGCAAAAAAAAAAAAAAAAATCAATATCTTCCTCAGTATTTTTGTCCTGTTATTCAATATACAAATATCTAAACATAGCAAGATACAGTTACGTGAGTCGAAAATGCAAAATAAAGTCTTGAAAAAACTTCCCTTTGAATAATGTAGATTTTTCTGAGCCCTTTTGGCAAATCTATTTGTTCTTGTTTTAATCATAAACTCACTCAATTTCTCAGAAAACAAGACGAGTAAATTAATTTTGATTTAAGAATCTCTAGACATTTGCACTGGAAAACACGACTAAAACACTGAGGAAGACTTGTGCAGTGTGATCAGAAGATGCAAGTGATTTCCATATTCAGGAGGATTTTGTAAAATGAATTTAAAAGTAATGGATATCTGTTGGAAGTTGCTAATACAACTCATTGTGTTTCTCCCTCGACGTTTACATTTATAGAACATATCAGATCTTTTAAAGGAATTAATTTAGCCAAATGTTTCTATTCTTGCATCTTACAGTGAGGTCAGAAAAACCCACTGGCTTTGGTTTGATTGGCCATCTCAGTCATTTTGACATTTGCACTGAAAAACAAGGCAAAAACACTGACAGAAGATACAGTAAAAGTGATTTCCATATTCAGGAGGTTTTTAGGAGGTTTTCAAGCTACTTTATTTGTAAAATGAATAAAAAAAATTATGGATATCTGTTGGAAGTTGTGTTTTAAAACTCTGAAGTGCTGCTAATAAAACTCATTGTGTTTCTGGTAACACTTTACAAAAAGCTTCATTAGTTAACATAAATGCATTTACTAACATGAACTAACATTGAGCAATACATTTTTAAGGTATTTATTAATGTTAGTTAATATAAATCCAGCTGTTTATTGTTTGTTCATGTTAGTTCACAGTGCATTTAACTAATGTTTACAACCTTTGATTTTAATAATATATTAGTAAATGTTAACTAGGAATAATAAATGCTGTAGAAGTATTGTTCATTAGTCCATGTTAACTAAGTTAATACGGTTTACAGTCATACCACTTATCTATCCACATAATTATGTGGATAAGATATATTGATTTCAGATTAAACTGTTTTAAAATCTTACCATTTACTTTCCAATAATCCAACAGTGTACAAAACAATAGTCACCAAGTGTCAGCAGCGTTTGTGTGAAGCGAGAGGACGAGTCCACGATACTGGATGGCATAAGTAAATAATTACACAAAATATTGATTTGAGTTTTAATACTTTATTAGCTCACCAAACGCAGAAACCCGTTCCTAGCGCGCGTATAGCGCTGATGTCATCAGTGACCCGGATCAGCCTGTGTTTCTGTGTTCAGCGGCTGTTATCTGGGAATAACTCGCGGCTGGATGGCGCTATTGGCCAATCAGAGTGGAGTATTCCACAGAGCCGTGTGATGACGCGAGGTGTTGTTGCTCTGCAGACGCGAGGCTCTCGCAGTAAGTCGCTGCACGATCGAGCGGTCATCAACTGCCAGTACAGCATGGCCACGTTCAGCACGGCGGAGAGGAAGAGGCGTCCGCACGGGGACCGCAAGTCCAGCGAGATGAGCCTGCACCTCAAGCAGACCTTCGAGGCCGCGGTGCTGACCGAGCTCTACCCGCGCTCGCAGATCGACATCTACGTCAAGGTGTGTGTGTGTGTGTGTGTGTGGTGTCACCCTTTACTAGCCTGCGCTGGGAAAGAAATGTGCAATCTGCAATGAAGAGGGTTTATTCTGCTGTGTTCCCCTCACGGACCCGTTAGGCCCAGCACTGGCCACATGAATATCCCTGAGTGTGCGCTCATCTTGGCCTCCTCTTCCTCTGGTAGAAGCAAATCCATTCCTTTGATCCAGTTATTTGTTCAAAAGATGACTGCAAGAGCCTTATCAAATTAGTCAGAAATGTGAGTTTATTACAGTAGTAGATCACGTTATATTCGGGGTGTAACAATACCCGGTGTCACGATGCTGAACTCACTATAGGATATTACTGCGATTCTCCAGGACAAGGTGAACAAAAAAATGTACTGTTGATTAAAATGCTAAATTTGGTGTTACATTGTGTGTGTAAATGAACAGGCGTTTGGACTCGGTGCTGAAACCCAAAGCACAGGACAATAGAGACACCAGAATAACAATATTCATGATTCTGAAGCTGAAAACAGAATTACTTTAGTCGAATATGCTTGTGCTGTCACTGCCTAGATATATTTATAATAATGTCGTGTCGTATACATTATATATTGTAGTTTAATGTAGTATTGACACTAAAACTCAACTTTATTTCTCACACAGTATTTTACTATAAACTATACATATTATTAACACATATTGTCACTGTCAACGATACATATTGTTGCATTTTTGCGTTGCGATATATTGTTTCAGCCCTAATATATATATATAGGGAGAAATATGTCAGGAAAAAAGTTGTCGTCACTGTATTAGAAACACCCTCAAAGCATTTACTGCCAGGGTTAACAAAATATAACATTATAAATGTGTATTATCATAATCATACCCTGTTGGTTCATTGGCCAGAGGAGAGCTGAGCGACTGAGTTCTCCAAAGGTTTTTTCTCCATTCTGTCAATGATGGAGGTGTGGTTCCTTGCCACTGTCGCCTTTTCCAACTTTGTTGCCCTTGGCTTGGCTTGCTTAGTTGGGGACATTAAATTTAACATTCAACAATATTATTGATCTGCCTGCATTGACACTATTATACAAGAACTGAACTGAGCTGGACAATGACATCATGATTTACTCCAGAGCGGCTATATATATATATTAGGGCTGTCAATCTTCCTCTATAATACTATTCGAATTCCATTCCTTATTTTATTTAATATTTGAATAATATTCGAATATTAAATGCTCAAATTCATCCTATTATTAATATTTACGACTTTACTCAGGCTTATGGATCGCCAATGCCACTATAGCATGTGGTTGTTGTTACACGTTCTGTCCACTAGAGGGATATCTAACATTACAATAAACATTTTATTCGTGCTGAATATGGTTGAAGTGCTACCGATGGTTTTCGGCTAATATCTCCGCTAAAACACCACCAAACATTCTGAAACTTATATCGTTCTTTTCAGTTCGACTAGACGGTTCCAACGAGTTTGGTCATCGCCGAATCCGTTGAGTTTTCACCGAGATATTTGCGCTTCACGTCCGTTTTTTACGTTGTTAAACATTTACCATTTTTGACAGTATTGTTATGATGATACAGCGTGGATAACGTGCACAATTGTGTTATGATTCAAAAACGTTATTGTTCATCAGACGAAACAAAAGCATTTCATTTTCACATGTGTGTAAGCCAAGGTGGCGAGAAAGGCAAGATTCCATAAAAAAAAAATTAATGAAT